TTGTTATTATTATTATTATTATTATTATTATTATTATTATTATTATTATTATTATTATTATTATTAGACCATGAGAAACCTGTTCACGTTCACTGTTTGTAGGTTGGTACCACAAAGCACTCCAACGGTTAGGCGCAGAGAGGCATGATTTTCTTTCATTGTGGATCAATAGGGTGTGAAATACATTTACAACGATTGGGGGACAGGGTAAGGGTAACAATGTCCACTAGTGCTGGGATTTTACTTTATCTTGAAGTTTAATGAGTGCAACCTATCTTTGACTTTGACAAATGTATCTATTCCTCAACAGGCAAGGGAAACTACTGGACGATGGATCCAAACTGTGATGAACTGTTTGAGGAAGGAAATTACAGAAGACGAAAACGCCGAGTCAAAGTTCAACAAAGAGCTCTGGCTGGCGGCCCCAGTACTGGCGGACAAGGCAGCTGCGAAAAGAACAGCTGGAACAGGGGGCAGGAGGGCGCTGTGTGTGTCGCCAGTATTGACGACTATGTCCAAGGGGGCTCAGACGACAAGTGGTCCGGATGCAAGTCGGACGATGACAACATTAGTGTGGGACTGACCTGTGATAAAAGCAAGAGTCACCCTGACGGTGACCTACAGGGGGATGAAAATCTCTACAATATTTCAGAGCACTCCTTACTGTGGGTACGTGGGAAAGCTGGAGTTTGCAGACTTGACGACAGACTGGCGCCAGATGGCTGGGTTCGTAGAAGCTCCACTGACGACAGAATGTCTGACAATGGCGATGCTAACAACGACTCTTTTCCCGATTCTGATAATGGGAGTGAACAGGACCCTGGTGTCAAAACAGAATACGGGTGTGATAGTATGAAAGGCATCGAAAGTAAAGATGATAATACAGATCTCGAAAATGACGTATTTACGTCTGAGCAAAAAGAAGACTATGCTGTAGACCTTACGAGGTTTAAAGGGGAAGAAAATTCCTGTTTTAGGAATGATGTTGAAACGGTCGAGAGAAAGACTCACTTCTTGGATAAAACGAGTGATGGACAATGTGGCAATCTGAAATTTGAAAATGACGATGTCATTGCCAACAGAAGTCCGAAAGTGAAAGTTGAGAAAGAAACAATTGCAGAAGGCAGAAATGCCTCTATCTCTCCCAGTAAGAGAACGAAATCGTCCGAGGCGGGAAGCAATAACAGATTCTTAGATCCACATGTTTCACGAAACGCATTGACCACAGAACAGGATTGCAGTGAAGAAGTTTGGTCGTCAAAAGAACACGTTATTCCAAATGGGACTTCAACTAGCTTTCAAATTACAGGGGACGTTTCAATTGTACAGAAATTCGATGTAAACATAAAGAAAGAGCCTCCAAAATGCACCTTGTCTTTCGGGATTGCTCGATTGATAGGGAGAGATGAGGTGGATGCCAATGAAAACACTGGGGAAAACGACGAACTTGAAAATAACAAAAATGAAATCTCGAATGAGAACACTCATTCATATTTTGGAAACAGTTCTCATTTTAATAATGACCGAACGATCTCAATATCTCAGGGAGGTGGATACACAGAAGTGGATTCGTCCCATAGAGATAGTATTGATACTAAGCCAACCAAAGCCCCAGAAGGGTGTGGGGGGTTTGAAAGAGGGGAGAAACGAAAACGAGATGTGTTCGAAGGTATTCCAAATCCACCCCCGAAAGTCATAGACCTAAAGAACAAAACGTTCGATTCTTTGTCACTCTCCCTTCTCCCAACATACCTCGGTACTGGCCGCTACCCAGCATCCCCTGGAAATTATATTGGTCTCCACCCTGGACATCCTTCAGCGTCCTTGGATACGATAACCCCCACCCTGGAGACCATGATGATGTACGGGCATCCAATGCTTGCTACACATCTTCGCATGACGTCTCAGGGACCACATTCTCGACATCGCCAGCCAACATCTGGGTTTCCCTACAGTGTTCTGTTCTAATGTTACCCTGAACAACTATTATTTCATATAAAATCCGTCCTTTGCGCATTAAAATTGAAGATACTCTTTTGAACTTTATTTCTCATTTTGAATGCTTAATGATGCCAGATATAAATTATTTAGTTCAGAAATAAAGAAGGAAAACTCGCACTATAATGTGAGAGGGTGAAAGAGTGTGTGGGAGAGAAGAGAAAAAAAGAAAAAGAGAGATGGGAGGAAGAGGAGGGAGGGGGAGAAGGAAGGAAGGAAAATAACGTGAACAAAAGAAAGACGACAAAAGGAAAAGAAAATCGTCTCCCACCAAGCTAATTTCTTTTTGATCCTTCTTAAAGTAGACATTACACCTTTGTCTAAGGGATTAGCCGAGTGCAGTTTCCTTTTGATATTAAAACATACGAGTTCTTTTTTTCCCTTCTGTTTCTCACTTCGTGAGTTGAAAACTGTGATTGATTTTAAGCTCTCGCATTTTTATAAACAAGATTAGAATACTGCTGCCAGTATTCTTTTCAGTATTTAAGAAAAATATGTTTTCGGCAAAACACACCAAACTGCAGACAAAGACTTGAAAGGCATTGTCTTTCATATCAACATGTTTTGCTTCACCACTCAGAAATTAATTTGAAAATGGATGTGATAAGGAAATATTACGTAGAATGTTCTCAGCGTGGGCATTGGTCGTGTTGAACCTGCAGCTATATTTCTTTCCGAAAAAGAGAACTTGTCAGTGAGTGTTTTCTTCAAGCTTCATCCTTAGCAGCTAGTAAATTTCATTCCTTTGAGAAATCACGGCATTCTTCTACAGTGCTCGTCCTATTTGTTATAACAACTTATGCCCCCCTACCCCAGCCTTTTCCTCCCGAAAGTCTTTCTCTTTCACAACAAAAGAAATTGCTAGATTGGGCAGCTTTATTACGTGAAGTTCTATGATTGGGATGGGAAGTTATACGCCATGCATAATAATAATAATCATAGAATCATAACGTTGAGTATTCAATCTATAATTCAATCTATAACGTTATTTTTGCTTTTGGTATTCTCCTCGTTCCACGCCTAAGCTTTGATTGTTGATCTTCCTACAACTCCAAGATAATTGCAAGTGAACTTTGGTAATGCGTTTGGTAATAATATTATTTGTTGTGATGTTCTTGATAGGAAAATGGTGTTGCGTGTGTGGACTCTTTCGTTGTGGTAATCAATGCTGTCGTTCCCACTGTTCGTCGACCAGTCTTGATTCAAATATGGGATATCTTAATTACTCAGTTTGGTGCACATGAACTGCTAGCATGAGTAGGCTAACTGGAAGGCATTTAACCCGAAATATTTATTCTAATTCGCAAAAAGTATACCATCTATTCTGATCAAGGTAAATGCCTTGTTCACACTGAGTATTGAAAGACGAAACAAATGCCAAAGTCAGCTACCTCTTTGTGTACGACCGCCACTACCACATTGGGCAGACGTCTAAATTGTGTCGAATGGGGACGTTGACAGGTGCAACAATAATACAACTTAAAACTGCTTTCTGTTGTCTTTTAAGGGTATTTCTATGGTTCTCATTATCTCGATTATTGCAGCAAAAAATACATTTTAACACATAAAGTCATAAAATATTGTGTTGTTTTACCTGAGTGTAAATAATGCAAAATGTAATAGGTTTTATTTTCATAATGTTCTCCCACAAGATATTGGCTTCCTTCTGTGATCTCTCCATCTCAGAAAATTGTTTATCACATGAAATCATTTTGAAATATATACAAATGTATAACATTATGCCTCTCTATGCTTAATAGAGTCGGTAAACTCAGCCACTTCGATCAAACTCCTTCGCTGGGGAAGTGAATTCGATTCCTTCTTTCGGCTGAAAAATAAGCCATTTTCTGTATTCAACCTAACTTACTTTTGAGGGTGAATATGTACCAGTATCAATATCTTAATCAACCGTAAACTGAAAGTTGAAATAATATACCATTTTCTTGTGACACTTTGGTTATCATATTAGAGCTCAAGTTAATGTCACAATCAGGGTAGCCAAATAGCGCGCCTTTGTCCCAAAAAGGAGAGACCATGATCGTTAGAACGACCGTTAAAATTTGAGAAAACTGTCAAGCGAAGAAAATCAGCCAAGGACAATGTCTAGATGTGTATTGCATCAAATATCCCTCTTTGTACATATGTATTATCAATGAGCGTGTGAACTATTAAACTTGAATTTTCATATGTCTGTTGGACCGAATGCTCTTCATAAGCCATTATGTCGAGCTACATTATTGCAACAAACCGCAGCCTAAAATGAAGACGAACAAAATACTATCATTCTGCGATGCTTAAGGTTGCTACTACTTGAGCTCTGAAAATGTGATTTCGACTAACCCCCGATACCCGTAATATAATACTGCAGGCAAAAAAATGTACTAGATCTAGTTTTTCAACGCGATTTCCAGGCGCGATGTCTTTTAACTCAGTGTCAAGGGGATTTGAAAAGTGACTAAGTTTACTGTTGACCATACTTCACGAGTGTTTGAATTTGGATTTTACTTCTTCTGATGTTCCGTTGGCTTCTTATGGAAAGAGAGAGGGAGAGAGAGAGAGAGAGAGAGAGAGAGAGAGAGAGAGGGAGGGAGGGAGGGAAGGAGATAGAAAGAAAGAGACAAAGAGACATAGACAGAGAGATAGCGACATATTAATCTGCTTTAGAATCTAGACGCAAGTTTCGTTGACAGGAATAATTAATAATTGAATCAATGGGTCTTGTAACATCTCGCTTCGCCCACACGTACAAATCCTCACGGACATTAAGATGGATTTTTCCATAAATCTACTTTCTCCTAAGTAAAGAGATATGGACACGACATATTGAATCGTGGATTCGAACCTCATGACTGTGAGACACAATGGCTTATCTAGCTGTCACTCAACCCCCTCATCCATTTGTATGTGTACACCCATATTTACAAGATGAAAAAAACATATGACAGTGAGAGAATTAAAACAGTCATCCTCCTACATACATCATAAATAATATA